TGCCCCCCGGCCTCTCTCCTCCATCAACAGTTCATAGGCAACGGAGACGTGATGGCATACATCGACTGGAGAAGTCTCAGCAATTCTCGCTCTCTTCTCTTCCCCCCTGTCCCCTTCTGCCTCTCCTCCCTCCCCTCCCACCCCCCCCACCGCCAGTTCATAGGCAACGGAGATGTGATGGCGTACACCGATTGGAACGAGCACACGGCCAATGGCAGCGCGACATCTGTCGACTCATGCATGCTGGCACGCGGCGCGCTCATCAAGGTGAGTTGTGCTGCAAGCTGTTTAGGTGGTTTTTGGTGAGTAAGCTGTGTGTAATGTCAATGGCTGTTGTTTTACCTCCACTATTCTCTTCTGTTGTCTATCTTCCTCAATCCCTCCCACCACCTCCCCTTCCCCCCCCCAGCCATGGCTGTTGACGGAGATAACGGAGCAGCGGCATTGGGACATATCAGCGGGGGAGCGGCTGGACATGCTGCGCTCGTTCACGCGCTACGGGCTGCTGCACTGGGGCTCCGACACGCGCGGGGTCGAAACCACCCGCCGCTTCCTGCTGGAGTGGCTGAGCTATCTGCACCGCTACGTGCCCGTGGGGCTGCTAGAGCTGCTGCCTCAGCGCATCAACTGGCGCCCTCCTGGTTTCTACGGCAGGAATGATCTCGAGACTCTGTTTGGGTCTGACCAGCCGAACGACTGGGTGAGTTCCCCCGTCCTTCCACACGCTCCTGGAAAAGAGAGGGCGGACTTTCGGTGAGTGGGCAGAAAGGGGAGTGAAAGAGTGGCTGGGAGGGAAACAAGGTCTGCACCACTACGTGCCCGTGGGGCTGCTGGAGCTGCTGCCCCAGCGCATCAACTGGCGGCCCTCGGCCTTCCATGGGAGGAATGATCTCGAGACCTTGTTTGGTTCCGACCAGCCCCACGACTGGGTGAGTAGTGCTCTCCCCTCCCTCCTCCTTCCCCACCTCTCCTCCCCCTCCCTCCCTCCCCCTCCTCTTCCCAACCCCCGTTCCTTCCCCCCTCCTGGTTTTGCAACCGAAAACGACCTGTGACGTTTTTAGACGTCCCAAGGTCGGTCGCTGAGACGTCCCAAAACTTGCAGCTGAAAATGTTTATTGACGTTCATGGAACAGACCAGCCCCACAATTGGTTTGGTTTATTGGCCTGTTGCTAATGTGACAAGCGTGTGGTTGACATATGGCACTTGCTGCTAGCTTTGCCCTTCCCTTGCGACCTCCCTTACTCATCCTGCTAGACCCCCTTGCCGCCTGTGTGGCTCAGTGTGCTCTGCATCTCATGTCCTCTGTTTCCTGTTTTTCCTTGTTTTTTTTTCATCCGGTTCATCTTATATTGTGCTCCGTGCATGTTTCACTCATCTCCTTGCTCTGATCAGGTCAAGATTTCTGAAATGCTTCTGGGCCCTCCGCCACCGAACTTCAGTTTTACTCCAAAGCACAAATCCAACTCATATGACGCGGCTGAGAATGGCTGACACCAGATTTATGTCAATGGCTGTTGATTTTTTTTCCTCGTCTACGAGGTGGTTTTTGTTTGTCATAATTACGCAAAGCGATTCAGCCTTTCGTTATTCCAGGTTTTAAATGGCTAGATTGATGTGGTGGCTGTATAAGACTGATTGTCGTTAACGTGAGTTAATGTAGTCATCCTCCCACTGTTGTGAAAGACTCGTTCGGCACCACCGGATTTGTAGTGAGGCAGCTCGAAATGAGTCGGCTCTTCATCATCGGACCCAGCGCCGCCAAATACGATGCCAAACCCACTGCGCGCTTATCGGGGTTCCGCAAGTTTCGTTATCCACCTGAATTCTGATATTCCCTGGTCCCGCTGTCATGTCGGTCTCAGGATTTCTGCCGAATAGACGGAGGGTCTTTCCCACATGAGGTCAAGGTGTCCGTTTCCAGAGATGGATGTTTCGCGTCATCTGCGACTCGCGCGAACGTCAGCCCCTGCTTTCTTGAAACGACAATCGTTGAAGCATAACTGCTTCGCAACAAGCGTCAAGACAAGGCGTTGAAGGGACTACGTGGTTACTGCTGGTCCCGTTTCGTTTCGTCATGGCATGTCTGGGCCGCACATCGCGGCTCATGTCATGCATCCAATGATCCCGCCCCATCCCAAGGATGGATTGTCGCATCGCATGTGTTCCTTGGCCATGGAATGGGTCCCCCCCCTATATTCCCTCGAAAGTACGGATGGACACATTCAGCTCCCATACAAATAATCGACAGCTGAAACAAAACTCCTAACACCTCGGCTTGCGACAACAGAACCTCCAAGTAGTAACCACCACATTCCCCAGCGGCCATTACTTCCCGCAACAGCAGTTAGTAGCCTGCCCCTGAAACCAACGAGCGGTTACTGCGAGTTATCAGCATGGCCCGGCTGGTCGTACTCTTCCTCCTCATATCCTTCGTGGCGCTCGTCGCAGCATCGCCAGGCAAGTTAGATGCACCGTGACCTTGTCAACTCCGTATCCCTCAGACTGCACGCGTAGCTCAATTTACCCTTATTCTCTCTCCTCACATCCCTTTCCGTCGTCGTATTTCATCATCCAACACTTCCAACATCACCTCCAATTTCTCCCGGCCTTTGCCCGCCATGCTCATCCACGCCAGCTGACGACACCAATTTCGTGGCGCCCATTCTCCGCGCCGATGCGCAGGTGCACCACCCGCAAGGTACGGATCTCTCTGTCTCTGCTGGATTTATCAGAACTTTTCGTTAATTCTTTTTCTTTGTTTCCACCTTCGTGCAATCTGATTCTCCAAGTACTATTGCTAATCAAGCGCTACTTTATGCGCTACTCTCCCGTTTTCACGTCCTGCAGCTTCCAAGAACCGCCGGTCGCTCATGATCAATGGAATTCCGAATCGCGACACGCCGTGCGCCACGAAAATGACGTGGTGGAACCAGACGAATCTCACCGGGGCCAAGTGGGTGACATGGCTTCCAAGCCCCACAGACGGCTGCCTCAACTTCCCGCCGGAATACTACTCGTCGACGTATCTCGGCTCGATCAAGATCGAGTGGTACGCGCCGACGCAGGCGATGAAGAGCGACTGGTACTTCGTCACTTGCCAGCAGGTCCGTTGGCGACTCGCAAGTCCGCAATCCCAGCGGGAGTGATGTCGCTGTTTGACGGGTGGATGTTTGCTTCCTCGAAAGAGCACCCGTTTTTTTTCGTTGCAACGATATCACTCTGAGTCGCGTCGCGTTGCTCGCCCAGTCGTCGCGTCACTAATTCGAACGTTGTGTTGACGGAACTTTCGCGTCGCTGTGGTGTTGCAGCTCCAATTCTACTCGAGCCGCGACTGCAATGTCGGAGTGCAGCAGCTCACATGCCCCACGGACCGCAATCCGCCCTTGCCCAGCACGCGAAAGTACGTCCGCGCCGATTGCCCACATGCTTCTTCCTTGCCTCGCCCCGACTGCACACGTGCCTCCTTCCTCGTTGCGCGCCGATTGAACCGTGCCTCAACCGTGCTCTCTTCTCTCGCCGGCTCGCACCTGATTTCGCATGCCCCTCTTTCATTGTCATATCACATCGCTGCCATCACTCCCTCAACTCGTCCTGTCTATCCTGTCCCTTCTCTTCCTGTCTCTCCTCTACTCTTCCTTCCCCACCTCCTGCAGCCCGTTCCCCTTCATCCGCACGCCTATCAAGTCTGTCAGTTGCCTATACTGTGAGTACCACGAAACTCCAGGCTTGTGGAAGTGACGAATTATTAGCGCCTCGGTACCAGCTTCTCCTTGTAATCCGCTCCTCCCCCCCTATTACACGAACACTTTCTAATCCCTTCAGTAACCTCATATAATATTCCTAACTCCAACGCTGTGCTGCTGTTTTTGTGTTGCTGTTACGTGGTAACCACCGAGCAGGGCAGGACCTGACTAAATTGTACATGTGTCCGGCCAACAGCCACCTCGAGACCAAGTGGGCGGGCGCCAAGTGCTATTGCAACAAAGGCTTTGCCGAGAAGAACGGCGTGTGCGTCGGTAAGTCGCTGTTAACACCCCGCACTTGACAGAATTCTGCTATTCAGTCGACTCAAAAGCCGGCGCCAAGTGCTCTTGCAACAAAGGGATTTGCTGAGAGGAACGGCATGTGCGTCGGTGAGTCAACGCTGCCACTCCATCCCTTCCATCCCTCCCCCTCGCCACTTCCGCCTCTGTTTTGTACCCCCGACTCCTCCGCCTCTTCCCTCCCGCCTCCTCACTCACTATCCCCCGTCTGCCCCCCGTCTCCACTTCCTCCCGCCAGACGTGTGCACGCCGCTCAACTGCGGTCCCAACTCGAACTGCTACGTGGCGAACGGAGCAGGCGTGTGTAACTGCACGGACGGTTACCGCATGGTGAACAGCAAGTGCGAGGCTGTGGGCAACTCGGATTTCATGGAGCCGCACAACGACGCCCGTGCTGCTGTCGGTGTGCCGGCGCTGACGTGGAATGACACTCGTGAGTGTGACTAAAACGATTAGTGTGGTCCAATGTCCTGTGGCCATGTTAGCACCGTCAGCTGCTTCTGCCAAAATTCTCCCCCTTGTCCTAGCATATCCCCCGATCCTACAAGTTGAAATTCTCCCTGCGTTGCGCTCCCCTCTCCCATCTCCTCCCATCAGTGGCTGCGGAGGCTCTGACCTGGATCACATCGCTTGCTACAACAGACAACACCTGCCGCACAGCCACCCGCTCCAGCGCCCTGACCTATGGACAGAACCTGATGACGACAATTGGAATCGGCCAATGGACCGGCAGGATGGTCGTGAACTCGTGGGTGGCGGAGAAGTCGAGCTACACCTACTCGCCTCTAAATGGAGGGTGTGCAGCGGGCGCCATCTGCTCGCATTACATCCAGATCGTGTCTCGGGCATCGACAGCCGTTGGATGTGCCTCGTACACCTGTGCCGGTGCGGGGGCTCAGCTCTGGGCGTGCTTTTACTCACCCAAGGGACTTGCGAAGGGCTCGTATCCGTATTAGCCACCTGTATATTCCGTCTAAGGGTATCCTTTCCAGTTTCCCGGTGAACCATGCTAGTGGTTGGTTGCAATGCCTAAGTGCCAGACCGGGCTGCTTGCTGCTTGCTGCCAGACGGTTTTGCTCTGGTGTTTCTTCAGGATTGCAATGTTGTACGGTATGTTGATTGTGCATACAACTTGTATGTCTATTTTGAGTTTTGAGATACGAGGACTTAGCACTATTAGCAGTGCTATTAGCTCACCCTGTATACTCTCTCAAACCCATCCCCCATCCACGCTCATCCCAACCCTTGCCCTCTCCTCCTCGGTGCCTTCCTTTCTTGGTTGTCCACAATCTCTCTCGTCTTGGGGTGACTGCTGCTGAACAGGGGGTGGCACAATTAGGGCGCGATAGAAATGGGGGGAAGGGGAGGAAGGGAAGGGAATGTGTGTGTGGGGGGGGGGGGGGGCGTTAGAACCGGGGAGTAGTGTTATACTGCAGCACCTTCCTGATACAGTGTAGGTGGTTAGAGTAGAATGTTGAAGTGGGGAAGGGAGAGGTCAATGGGAAGGTGAGAGAAGAGGGGTTATAACTAGGAACTTGCGACAGCCAATTGGCGAGAAGCAGGGTGATATGAGGGCCTGCCGAGTGCGTCTTTTTACTGTACAATTCATGCTTCGTGGCTTAGGGCAGTCCCACACAAGGATTTTTGAGATTTACAGTAGTACCACGCATTGTACCGTTGAGTTTATGAAATATTTGCACCGCAATGTAACTTATTATTCATAAAAAGGAGTTAATAATGATAAGGACTGGAACAAGAAAGGACCCTAGTGTTTTTATTTAGTTGATGGTTTACGCATTCATACAAGAGCAAACTTTCGGACACAGGAATTCGGGCCGTGACTGGCTGTTCCATCCGAATAAGCGATCCATTGTACAATCAGGTCGCGTCGATTCCCTAACGTGTCCGGTGATCGCAACATTACTGAATGCCAACAGCATAACATTGAGGTGTTCGAACGAGCGTTGGAACTTGTGCGACGACCAGACTTGTTCGAAACCTGGCATGCAAACTAAATCTTAAAAAAGACAGAACAGAATTACAAGCTAAACCAGCCCACCTACAATACAGATGCACAGGTATTTTGTGCAAGATTCAGCCCACCAAATCAGCCCACCGAAAAAAAGCCCACCGAAATCAGCCCACCGAAATAAGCCCACCGAAATAAATCCACCAGCTTGTGGGGAGTCTAGGGCAGGGGCTCCAAGTCGATATGCTGCACGGGGCTCAGCTGCTTGGCGCGGTGGTACTCGGTGTACGCGCAGTCCACGGACAGCACGGAGCTCGACTCGTACATGCGGGGAGTGCCGTCGAGGAACCCAGCGCCCTCCTGGCTCTCCGCCGAGACCGGACGGTGCAGGGTCGCGATCATCTTCTGGAAGTTAGCGGCGCGCTCCGCGTGGTCGGGGCGGTACGTCTGGCCGAGCACGCCGTGCACGTCGTCGGTGTGCTCCAGCTCGACAATCCCCACGTTGATGTGCGCCTCGGCGTCGTTGGGGGTCTGCAGCTTGGGGTTGGCGACGCGCAGACGCAGGTCGAGACCCACGAGGCCGTCGATGACGAGGGTGTAGTAGTCCACGTCATACGGGCCCTCCTTCTCAAGAGCGGCGAATCGCAGCGTCAGACCGCCCTCAGTCGTCACCTCGTCGCCCACGCTCATACGCGGCATCTCCTCGCCGTCGATCTCGATCGTCTTCATGAAACCGTCGCCGCGCTCCTGCTGCTTGCCGCCGCGCGCCGCGAGTCGCACCTTGTGGTCGGCGCCGTTGGCGAACCAGATGATGCCCAGCTCCTTGATCCACGTGTGCACCGCCTTGCCGTCCACAACGAGCGCCGCGTTCTCCGTGTCGTCAGAGTAGTAACCGCGCAGCAGCATGTTGATGTGCAGGTCCCTGTCAGCCAGCAGGCAGAAAGCCTTGTCGGGGCGTCCGTTGAAGTCGAAGTGCGTCCCGTACGCGCCCACCAGATGCGGGTCGTTAGCGATCTTCGCCGCGGGGTTGCACTCGCCGCCCGTGCGCACCTGCAGCTGAATGGGCTTCGAGTCCGTCGCGTACTGCGCGGTGAGCTCACCGCAGGTGAAGTCGATGTTGTCGTGCACCAGGTAGCACGCGCCGTCCGACTTCTTGCCGTCGATGGTAATGTCGGGGATGTACTGCCAGTACGTGCAGCCAGAGAAACCCGCGCACGTGTTGCAGCACGTCTGCGGGGACGCCTTCTTAACAGTGCACGGGTTGCCCTTCACGTACACCTCCACTCCGAGCTTGTTCTTGAGCAGGTTCGACGTCTTCCACTTGGCGGGGATGCCGCCCAAGCTGCAGTTCTGAACTGTGCACGCGCCCTTCCCGGCATCGGCGAAGCCGTCGCTCCACTTGCACTTCATCTTGTTCCATCCGGCCTGCTTCACGTCCACCATAAGAATACTGTCCGTGCCCGTGCTCACGACCGTCGTGCCCTGGAGTTGGTCCAGCTTGCCCGTTGCAGCCGCCTTCTCGATGCTGGCAGGGACATCCGTCACGACGCCATTAGCGCCCTTGGCTTGGTCGAGGTTGACTGCCGGGTTGCTGGGTCCAGTCATGACGCTTGGTGCCGCGTAAGCCACCACCAGCATCACTGACAGGGACGCGACGAGGAAAGCCAGACGCGCCATCGCGGAGGACTGGCTCGGGACTATTCTGACTATGGAAGGAATTCTGACTGCTACTACTATCGATACCAAGAACTGAACTTCAGTGTTCTGATTAAAATGGGTTGCCTCGTTGCCTTATGTACCTCTTCAGTGCTTGGATAAGGCAGGCAGTGGGACTGGGAGAAGTGATAAGGGGGTGACGGAAAAAATCGAACGAGTCGCAGAAAATTGACCTGGAACCTGGGCAGGGGATTGCTGGAGTGTTTTGCGGGTTTCATTCCAGCTATCTGAACCGACCTGAAAACTTTGAGACTTTTCAGGAGCAAATCCAGGTCAGGTTCACTTATCGCACCGCAGAATCCTTCGCGCAAATGACTCAGGTTCTGTTCATGTGGGTGCTGTTGGATATTTCTGTTCTGCTGCAGTTTCCCCGTTTTTCCAAAGTTTTCTTGCAGGGCGACACAGAATGTTGGGCTGCGATAGGTGGGAGGGGGGATGGGGGGGGGGGGGGTTACAGTATTCTGCGAGAGGGACTTTGGGGGGATCGGGCTGAAGTATTTGAAAGAAACTTGAGAAACTTGGGTGGGTTACTGGTGGTGAGGAGGAAGGGGAGGGAGAGGGTAGGGTAGGGGGAGGTGGGAGTGGGGGGGTGGAAAGGGCGCGTGGGGTCTTGTCGGTGCTTCGCTCGTAACTGATGAAAATACACGCGCTGCCTGCTTTTGTAGACGAAACGTATCAGACTGTATATTTGTACGAATAAAAACCAATGGCCTAACGTTTAGAAGTGATTCACGTTTTCCAGTATGAAACATGCATACAAAGCGCACACATTTATAGCTACTCAATTTGTCGAATCGCACACGTAACATCGAGTTGCTACACGAAGTGTCGCGAATGTTCCGTGTGTAACATTTCGATTTGGTGAAATTCGTCAACCGAATTTCACACATTCGAATGTTCCCTTGGTCCTCGAATGTTCCAGGTGCTGCCATGTGGCACCGATCTGCAGGTCTTTCGAAGTCAACCTACAACTTCACGAAACCTGCAATGAACACATTCGGAAGCAACACATTCGGTGGGTTGGGGGTATATCAATTGCCCCACCACCACCTTGCTTCCAACACACGCCACCTCCAACATTCCCCCTTGCACCCAACCCACTAGGTGTGCAAACCAACATGCTCATAGCATGCACGGGATGGATCTTTAGGGGGTGGTTCCATGAGAGATTCCGCGTGTTTATCATCACCCTTGGTCGCGAAGCAAATTGCCGCGCCCTCCTTATCCGTCTCCCCAACGGCTACCGTAGCATAGTCGGCATATTTGGAGGGAGGACGAACCTCAAGACGCTCGCGAGCCAAGGCCAATGGTAGGGAGGAAGGTGTGGAGGTAGTTGCCATCTCGGTTGGTGTCACCTCCACGACATCATCAACACTCTCCTCGTTGTTCTCTCCACATCCATTTCCGGCTTCCTTCTCCACTTGAGGTAGTACCTCACTTTCTTCAACCTCCTCTCGTGCCGGAAGGATGAAGGTGACTTGTTGAGTTGGTTTCTCCTTCGCCGGGAACTTGTCTTCGTCGAAGACCACATCTCGAGACGTGACAACGCGTTTTTCACCCAAGTCCCACACTCGCCATGCACGCTCGTTTGGCGCAATTCCCAAGAAGATCGCCGCACGAGCTTTCGGTTGCAACTTGTGGCGAAGAGGATCCGGTACATGGTAGTAGCAAAGGCACCCAAAGGTGCGAAGGCGGGATAGGTTCGTCTTCGTTCCGCTCCATGCTTCGAACAGAGTCGTTCCCGGGAGCACCTTTGTCGGCAAACGATTACGAATCCATGCCGCTAGCGCACTCGCCTCTCCCCACCACTCGTTCCCAAGCTTGGAGTGTTGAAGTAGCGAACGAACGACTTCCACCAATGTGCGATTAAGCCGCTCCGCCGCTCCATTTTGTTGGGGTGTGTAGGGTGTTGTGACGTCATGCTTAATGCCTTTGCTCTTCATCCATTTCTCAAGCTCCGCGTTCACGAATTCGCCACCACCATCGGTGCGAATAACCTTGATCCGCTTCTTGTCGTCGTTGCAAACTTCGAGCGCCCACTCTTGAATCGCCTTGGCCGCATCGCGTTTTGCCTTCAAGAGTCGGTCCAACACATCCGCGTCGCGTCGTCGAGCATCACCAAGAGGAACCGCACTCCTCCCTTTGATGCATGCCGCATCGGTCCAGAGACATCCATGTGAACAAGAGCAAGCGGGTCCTTAGCGAGGGGAGAGGTACAGCTACCAAATGGCTTGCGAGCCATTTTTCCTTCGACACACGCCGCGCACACGC